ATCCTCCATGTAATTAGTACCACATAAACACGACCAATGTGGTGATGCATTTTTAGACAACCAAGCTGCAGTCATGTGGAAACCATGTTTTTGTGATGTTTCATGTTCAAGTACGAGGCCGGTCACATCACATATATGGCACTAGTTCAAGCTTGGGGGAGCGTCACTAATCATGGAGCATTAAGGCACTATTTTCATTTGAATATAACCTGTGACTGGCTTTGCAAAATAAATCAATAAGAGGAAGGTTTCCCCAAGCCTACAATGAGACATGAGCCAGATGATCTTTTCAGAGGACAAATTCTTATTAAGCTGGCAATTATCTGTTGTCTTGTATTACGATAATGTATTAACACTTTTTCTGTATAGTATATGATATGCTAATTTAATTTAATTTCATCATTACCATAACGCTAGTTATAGTGCGATAGAAATTTGCAATTCAAGGGGAAACACTAATAACATCACATTTCTAATGAGTTTTCCCCATCATCAAAAAAAAGACAAGGTGGGGGGGGTGGGATCAGCCCTGTTTTGTCAGCTTTCAACAAGGGAGCAAAATTCATTATTTTGAATATTCATAGCTTCAAGAAACCCAGATTACATTTTAATTTCCAGGGTAACATCCATGGCTTATTTTTTGACAATGTGACTGTGTTTCTTAAGCAGCCATGCATAAAGTTTGAATTATAGAGAGTTTTTTTTAAAAAAAATATATCAATGGAAAAATGGAATTGTGCACTATTCTATGTATATAGAGATAGAAACTAGCATGCATCCCCCTGCCCCACAGAATGTAGAGAATAAGGCACCACCTTCTAATCAGTAGCTAAGAGTCAATTCATATTACTACATCATTAAACATGCAAAGTTGGCAGAAAAAAAAACTTTGTTTCTAAATATATATCACATGCCTTTCCTTAATAATCAAGATTAAAAGAACGAGATCAGAAAAATAAAGTTTTTTAAAAAAGAATAATCAAAGGAGCAAGAAAAAGCATAGGGTGACATTCAACATCAATATGGATTTTTCCTATCTGCTTGCCCTTCTTATAATCGCAAGTGCCTTTCCAGAAACAGCTCTCCAGCACCCTCTTCAGAGGAGATAGTGGGATTTCCGGGGCGGGGTGGTGGTGGGTGGAACAGGACTGCACCCCTCTGCTGGTGGTGGTTTCACTTATTCATGAACACTACATTGGGTCTCCTGGAGAGGTGCGAACATCTCTGAAGTCCCTTCCAGGCATTTGGAAAAGAATTCATTCGAAAGCATGAGCAGAGAAAGAGTTCTTAGCAATGCCCCCACCTGTTACTATTTCTATGTGAAAAAAAGACAGTCCAAAGATGGAATCTCTCCACACAACGAGGGATCCTGAAAAAATCAGGTTTCCCAGGGATGTGGGGAAAGCCCCACATGTAGAGGATGGGCTCCTTTTTGGACTCTTCCTCTCTCCATAGAGACTGTCACTGGAAGAGGGTGGGGTTAGAAGACTCTCCCTGTTCAATCTTTCTAAATACAGTGGGGTCTCAACTTACGAACAGTTCTACATACGAACTGTTCGACTTACGAACCGCTCTCGTAGGAATATATGGACTCGACTTGCGAACTTAGATTCGAGTTACGAACTCTTTTCTTTCCTTTTTTTAAAAATCTAAGTCATCCTAGGTTAAAAGGAAAAAAGAAAATAGTGGCAGAAGGCGGAATAGCAGCTTCCCATTAGTTTGTATGGACGGAAAAGAGCAGATACGGATTAAATGGTTTTCAATGCATTCCTATGGGAAATGCAGATTCGACTTACGAACTTTTCAACCTGAGAACCGCCTTCCAATACGGATTAAGTTCGTAAGTCGAGACTCCACTGTAATCCTTTTCTGAATGCCTCTGGATAGATTCAGTCTCAGATGCATCTCCATTCATCAGGAAACGGCATGGCATGGCCCTCAACCTCAGGGCTCATGTTCTTTCTTTCGATTGTGAATAGGATTTTGAATTTATCATTGTCAAGTGCCATAAGGTCAGTTCTGACTTATGGCGACCCTTTTCAGGGTTATCCAGATAGAGAATACTCAGAAGGGGTTGACCCTTCCCTTCTTCTGGAGGTGCCCTGGGACTGTGCAGCTGGCCAAAGGCCACCCACGCTGGCTGTCCTGGAGAGAGGAACAGTGGGGGAATCTACACTCCCAACCTTTGGCTCCTAAACCCCTTACACAACTGATGGTTGTATTGAAGTCCCATTGATTGGGACTGGCATTTAATGAAATCTCTGTTAATTGCTAGGTCCATAATTATTTTTTAGCCTATCTACTCCTACAAGCATGTACACAAAACATAAATGGGAGAAGTCACCTTAGAGGAGGCGTTCATCTCTCACACAATGAAATAAATGGTTCTCTGAAGATGAGCTCTGAGGTTGGAAACTATGGCCTGGAGCTTCCTGGCAGAATGAGGACCACTAACTACATTCTGAAATCACAATCCAGAACTGTAACCACTAGAGGATACAAGATACAAAAGATAGATGAGACATGTCCTTCTTTGCATCTGAGTTTCCCTATTTACGTACAAAGCCTTAAACGGTTTAGGGCCTCGATACTTGGCGGAATGCCTACTCCTACCAAGATCTACCTGTGTCACCCGTGCGAGCCAGGAGGTGAGGTTGAGGAGCCTGAC